CTCATTTCTGAAGCACACAGCCTTCTGCAATGATTTATCTCAGGGATTCCCCCAGAAATGCCGAAAGGATGACTGCAGTCAAAAGTTGACGGTTCTTGCCTTGCGAGATCTCAAATAATGCAACTATGACCCCATTTGAGTTTACCCTATAAAAAAGAGCAGAGTGCTTTCCTACAGGCAAGTGTTAATTCTGCAACATTACAGCTCAAGTGGCCCGAAATACCAACTGCCTGGTCAAGAAATTAACTACAGCAACAAGAAAAGACAACAAGGAGAAAACACAGTAATGGGAAGTTCATGGTGTACTTACAGTCAAAAGATGATCTAGCATCTGTACTGTAACTTCTCATACAGCAATAAAAAAAAAGTATTATAATACAAATAGAACACAGCGGGTGACTCTTCTTCTCCACTCTACGTTTGTAAATTCATCAGAAGAACTGAGAACGAAAAGGGTTTCTTGAGTTTCTCGTTCCGGCACATACTGTAGCTTTGCAGGCTTGGTGGTTTAAGATGCATTACTGAAGTGCTTGCATGCTCTGCAGCGCAAATACGTTTGTGCACCTCTGTAATATACACAGCTGGTGTGGTTTCATACAATTATTCAGATCTTTAAGGGGCTGTACTACCACAGCATGCTGTAAAAGAGCACTGTTAAACCTCAGTCTGCCACGTCTCCAAAGTTTCATTTCACATCTGTACTAAAATACTTGAACGTGTTGCAACAACTTGACAACAACGGCATGCTTGCAATTTCTTCCAGGTCTTGTGATGTTCAGTTCTAGATACTGTACAAAAAAGTGAATAGTGTACCAAACTGGCTGGGAGTGACTGTGTTAGTTCATGTGCTTGGATGACAGCTGTGCCACTTGACCTTGACTATTTTGTTCGGCTCTGGGCCAATGGAGTCGTTAGCAACATGAGACAGAAACAGAAAACAAACACCAGAGTGCTTTTTGATTCTTCAGAGTAGTGTTTAGAGGGTTATTAATTCTGTTTATATAATCGACACATTATGCATGACTTTCGCTACAACATTGTGAGAAATATGAGCAGTGGTGCTACTGGGTAGCCACAGGCACATAGAAAATGAGCTTCTGAAAGTCACTCTGAAGTAAACACACTAAGATACCTCAACACAAAGACATACAGTAGCCAAGTGTCTTTTATACTTTTGTGAACAAACAAAACATAATAAGCAAATATTTCTCCGGCTGCTGTCACTTATCTGTCTGCTAATGCGCGTGGTTTTTATTCTCCTCAGCTATAAAAAAAGTGTCAGGTCATTTTAAATTCAGCTTAACATGCTAAACGTGCCTGCTGCTTAAATAGCTCAGCCTTAATAAAAGGCTGATGAATTACCCCTTAACAGCATCTGGTTTGCTTCCTGAAGAAAACCAACATTATCCTGTAGGCACAGAAAATAATTCCAAAGATAAAGAAACACAAGGATTTCTACGATAATGTATGTGTCACATATGCCATACATTGTCAATAAGGGACCGAATTGGCCTGGAGATAAAGCAAGACATTTCAAGACGTCATCAACTATTCATAGAAACGGGTATTTAATATCACACAAAGGCAAGAACTGTCCTCCAATTTAGTTGCATGGAAGAAATAGGTACCTTTCTATAACCTCCAGGGCTTAACCTGGAAGAAAGCAGTAGAAAACAGTAGATTTAACAGTTATTCCAATAATTGATCAATTAACGTTAACAGGTAGAATAAAAACCAAAGCATGACGCCTCTCTCAAGGTCTCTACCAGCCCACACCTGCCTCGTGGTATTGCACGCACAAACACCTCGCTCCCTGCTCCTGTATTAGAAATGCTGTGCCAACTGAACTGTGTGGCTCCGGCTGTTCACCAGATCGGTTATATCCAGGACTGCGCTCTCCTCTAAAAACGAAAACACCCGAAACAGTATGCTGCCGCATCCCGAGAAGAAAAATCCGGAAAAAAGGTTATAAAAACAAACCGTATCAGGTTTTACTTCATGCTTACAGATCTTATTTTGTACCTCGAAGGAACCAACTCAGGATATCAGTTTCAACAACAGCACAGTTCACTCCAGGATCCACCCTCCTCCCTGCTAAAGACGTGCCTTCTGTTCTCAGTCATTACATGCATTTTACTGTATTTTCTACTTGTGTCTTCTGGTTCATGTTTCACTTGACCTGGAACAAGTCAACTGGGTTGACCTTCTCAATACACATGATCTATTATATATTTATTCAACCGATCTATTTTCATTCAGAAAAAAATGGCCTTTTGCCCTTTTTAAAGATAGTTTTACATACTCTTTTCCACGAAACAATGCTGAGGTACTTGCTGCACCCATGTCATGAGTGGCTTAAACAACACACTCATCAACAATACGGGGAGCCTTGCATTACAGGGTGCAACACCACAAGGTTCGTGCTTATACATCCAGCACCACAATCTGAATATTTCTTTTGTGTTATATGCAGAAAGACTGTATCAAAATAGTGATTTTGTTCATCAACAGTGATGAAATCTGTTGACAGATGTATTAAATCAGCCTTAGTCCTTTTTCTATTAAAAAAAATTCCTAGACTACCGGGCATGAAAGGGAGTTTGTGGTGTGAGACATCACCTCTTTTCAGGGACTGGAAGGGACTTCATTCTGACTCACGCCTACAAGCAAATCTGTACTGTGGCAACAGCCAGCAATAACACACATTCACACAATAACACTGTAGCTCTTAATCGCAGGACATCTCAGTATGCACTTTGCTGCACCAAGCTGCAAAGTATTTGTCAGAGCAGCTCTTTTCTGGCGGTTCACTCAGGCGCAGCGGACTGAAGAAACCGATCTGTGCATGATTCTGCACACAGCAGTTTACTGCTCACAGTTCTCTTCTTGGGTCACGTGTTTTTTAATCACACACACTGTTTTCATAGCTCAACACATGTGGTTGAAAGCAAATACCTTCAAAAAAAGAGGCAAGACATTCAGTCAAATACAGAAGTGTCTGTATTTAGACACTGGCAATCTGGAAATCGCTGTGGTCCACAGTAGTGTGTGGGGGGGCAGGTGTGTGTCTACCAGAATGAAAATATATAACAAGATGAGCAATACTGGAACAACAACGGCTGTCTGAATTGACAACAATAAAGCAATGAAATACTTTCATTACAGAGCACTGAAAATGTTTAGGTGGCCAGAATGGGGATGTAATCCGATTCTTGGACAACAGAATTTTTTACATTCCTCAGGCAGTTTTGGAAAAATCATTTCCTAATCCCGAGCAATAGAATTTGTGGCTTCCGTTTCGTTGCACACAAAAATATTTCCCCGCTGTTCTTAAACTCTAAATCGGATTTTGTTTATGTTGTTCTCTGTGCAAGTAATCTTGAGTTATTGCACTGTTATCAACTGCTATGCTGTCCCATTTGTTATGTGACATGTTTTATTAGCACATGTTTTGCACGTACGGATTACATTACCTCAGCTAATCATAATTTTATTTTGTGAGAGCTTTTCAAGAAACTCAAAGCGCTGTGCAACTGCACTCGTGTTATACTCCAGCTAAAAGGAAGAGTAAAGAAAAAAGAAAAGCTCAGCCAATTAACTGAGTAATAGGTCTTTAAGTGACTTTTAAAAACGACACAGTTGCTGAGTCTCCAATACATGCGAGTTCTCTCTTCTTGGGGAGAGTAAGTAGGCCTGAATCTGCAGATTGGATTATTTTCAGGCAAATTTGTATTTAAGAGAGCCTGGTGCTGGCTAGCCCATTCACTGTCTCACATGTACGCAGGAGAAACTTAACTTTCATTCTCAGCTCCAGTTTCTACCCTGGCAAAAACCCGTGTAAAGCCCAAAGCCAACACACCTTACAGGAGACGGCAATGAACTAAACCTCAGCTACACAAACCAGAAGGACTATTCTGACACCAATTACGTTTGTCTAAAAAGAAAAATAAGATCTTATCAAACACGTTTTCTTTGTAACAGCATTACGAAAGTATAATAAACGATATCATTATGATCTTTTAATAAGGTTCATGACTTTGGGCTTGCCATGGCAAACGGCAAATTTGTCGATAAAGTTTTGCACCAAGGACTCAAGGATAT